TAATATATATAAAGTTTACTTGACTTGCCCTATTATTTTTTCATCTTTCCCACCAAGAACAAAGGTTTATTTTGTGTTGACAAATGACAACTGTCATTAAATTGAATCACATAATAGTCTCATTGTCTCGGTAAATTGAATCACATAATACTTTCTGGTCTCTCTGCCTTTTAGTTGAATCAAATAAACAACAAGTTCAAATTGTAACAAATCAATTACGTGGACTAGTTGGCTTATGTGCTGGTCCTTCCCATCCGAGGGACACGGTTCAAAGCCCAGTAGAGATATATTTTTTTAACATGTTTTTGTATGTCAACTTATACATAAAATTCACTTAATGTTTTTGTATGTCAACTTATACATAAAATTCACTTAATGTATAACATAGTTAGTAAAATATGGTACGAGAAAGTTACGTATAAAATATGTATGTCAACTTATACATAAAATTCATTTAATGTTTTTTTATGTCAACTTATACATAAAATTCACTTAATGTATAACATAGTTAGTAAAATATGGTACGAGAAAGTTACGTATAAAATACTTACGGGTTAGGGTTTAGGGTTTAGGGTTTAGGGTTAGGGTTTCTTCATTGTTATGCTTTGTGATAGATATTTTATTTTTTTAGGGTTATGTTAGTCACGGTTAATTCCCGTAAATAATCTGTCAATTTACCTTTTACAAAATATTCTTCCAAAATTTTAGGAGGGAGAATTTCCTTTCACTCAAAAATTTGATTTGGCTCCAAAATTTGCTTTGCTCCAAAAATTTGCTTTGTCTAAAAAATCCCGGCAACAGCAAAAATCAACCCGCCATTCCCAATTATTTTGAGAAGAACTAACTCTTTTCTGGCTCCAAAATTTCCCCCTCTTTTCTTTATGGTTCCATCTTTCCTTCCTAAATTCTAATCCTTATCTCTCCGAGTCTTCATACCACAAGCCGTTCCCACTCTGTTCTTCCTTACCCAATTCGTCCCTCTAGCTTCCACGCTCACGCTTTAGAGCGTGAAACCGCGAACTCATATGGATTCGTGCAAAATTCGCGTACTCAAGTTTTGTGGAGCGCGAATTGATGAGAGATGGAGCAAGATTTATTACATAGTGGAAAGTCACCGTCAATTCTGAGTTCCGACGCTTTCTTGTGCAAATCGCTGCAAGTCACAAAGTCTCTGTGTGTCAACTATAACTTCGCCCCAGCATGCCGTAATTCACCGCCGATTGTAGCTTCAATGGCGAAGGGCGTGAAAGATGACGTAAATTGAAGAACCAAGAAAGAGGGAGAAAAGTAAAGGGAAGGGAACTGGGAGCGGTTATCAATTAAGGTTCGCAGGAACATCCGGCGTAGATCTCTCTCTCTCTCTCTCTCTCTCTCTCTGCCAACGTGCTTGTTGCTGCCATCTCGTCGCTCCAGCCATCAGTGGCCATCCATCTCTGTTTTTAAATCCCGATAACCAGATTCTCCGGCGCTAGCCGGCCAAGCCATCTCTGGTGCAAGCTCAAGCACATTAAAATCACTTCAATTGACTAGTGGAACAAAGTGAGGCTTTGGGGAGGAGGATAAAAGAGCACAGAACTTCTGAATTTGGAAGAAAGCATTGGGATTTTGGAAGAAGGGAAAACGAAAAGTGAATGGGAGTGGTTCTGGATCTGGAATAAGAGTTCTTTTGGTTAATTTTTTTAATAATTAACTTTTAGTTTAGCTTTTAATATTTTTGGTAATTTTAAGGCGGACAATGGACATCATTGTAATTTGATATCGATGGGCCTGTCTTTTGGATCACCGAGTTTGTACGGGCTATTTGATTGAAGGGGTAGTCTGTAAAAACAATATGGTGGAACTGTGGCAGGGGAAAAAGACAAGATTTATAGTTGAGAACTTGAGATGTTTTTTAGAACATAGTTTAGTGGTTAAAAAATTATTTAATTTTTAATTATAATAATATTATATTAACGCTCTAATCGCGCTCTCAATATTGAATTCTTCAAAAATTGACGCTTTCACGCTCTCGCTCCCGATCCCGTTTTCGCTCTCGCTCCACGCTTTGGTTACCTAAATTCTTCCCCTCCATCCCATTTTCTAGAAAACAAACCCTAATTCTAAATCCACCACCACAACCATCACTCCCTGAAAACTTCTATATTCTCGCTTGATAGAGTACATTGCGCGATTGAAGAAATGAGATAATGGGAAAGGAGAAATATGGGGCCTCGGCCCAGTTTCCCTAACCAACGACGACCAATTGGACTGAGGCGGTGGCGGCATATCTGGGTAGATTCTTCAATCCTCTATTTGCTCGAATCAATGGATACCCATTCAGCAATCTATGTCTGCTTCAAAATTGCAATATGGTGATTGGTGAGTTTGTTTTAAATTAGTGTAATAACTCCCTAAAAAATAGTGTAATAACTAATTATAAAAAAACTCGATGGTGTGGACCGAACAACCCGCAACCCGACCTGTTGTAACCCGCAATCCGATCAACCCGAACCCGATTGATCCGCAACCCGATCAACCCGTAACCCGACTGATCCGCAACCCGATCAACCCGAACCCGATCAACCCGCAACCCGATCAACCCGCAACCCGATCAACCCGCAACCCGATCAACCCGAACCCGCTTGACCCGCAACCCGTTTGACCCGCAACCCGATTAACCCGCGACCCGACTGAACCCGACCCGAACCCGCCGAACCCGCCCGATTGACACCTATAATTGCACCTATCATCGTCATATAATCAAAGCAACAAGAAGAAAAAAAAAATGCTTATTTTTTATTATTCATTCGTAAGATGATTGTAACGTCAGTGGTATGCCGATCGATAGAATGTTCATCGGTTGAATTCGTACTGATAATAAAATTGATGTGTGAGTATCATAATATGATCGATTTTTTGTCTAAATAACCTTGTTGAGTGATTTTAATTAATAAAAATGTAATATGTGATTTATTCAAGGAATTTTTAGTGATTTTTTTATGTAAAATAGTGCATTTAAATGTGTTTTATATGTGCTAAAATTCATTTAATGTCAATTATTTTTCATACTTATTTACATTTTTTATTAAACCGGCACAAAACAGTCATACCAAAGGTTGAACAATATCACTCACTAAACTGCCACAACGATAAACATTTAATCCCGAGTATTCAGTTCCAGAATCCAAATGGGTAACCTATGGTATCGTATTTCATTAGAGAAGGCCAAGGGGAGTGGGACATTCTAAGATTCCAGTTTTGCTTCGAACCTCACTCTGTTGATCTTATCAGGAGGATTCCTCTACCTCGTTGCCATCAGCAAGACATTAGAGTGTGACACTATTCCAAGGATGGAAAACATACAGTCAAATCAGGTTATCACTTAGCTTTGGAAATAGCTTTAGCCTCTAGCCGAAAACCGATAGTTCATATCATCGACCCTCCTATTTGGAAAAAGACTTGGAATATCCAAGTCTCGCCTAAACTCAAAATTTTCATATGGCAATGCTTCAAAGTCATTCTCCTCACAGTGGCGGCTCTTCAAACCCATGGAGTAAACTACCTCAACAGATGTCCTGTTTGTTGGAGACATCAAGAAAGCATATTCTTCAGATGCCCCCTAGCCACTAGACTGTGGACTTTAGTGGGATTGAATAACTTTATTGAGACCGCTCTAACTGTTAACTTTAGTCAATGGTGGCGACATGTCATAGTCTCTGAGACATCCTCATTCCACATTCTCCAATGCGTCTTCTTACTTTGGAGAATCTGGAAGTCTAGAAATAAAGTAACTTTTGAATTCTATCGACCTCACGTCCGTTCCCTAACTAGACAATTCAACAACCAGGTTCTTGAAATATTCAACACTCTCCCCCCTCCTCCATCCCGCAGCTCTCTCCTCCCTTTCTAGGCAGCCACCACGTGGATCCCTCCGCCAGATGACTATTTGAAGATCAACTTCGACGTTGCTGTTTGTGCCATCGGGTGTTCGTCTGGGCTTGTTGTTCAAGGGTCAGACGGGCATGTGGTGTTGGCGTTCGGGTTGATACATCAAGGAATAGTCAACCCGTACCTGGCAGAGCTTCTAGCCATTAGAGATGCTATCTCCATCGTTGCCTCGAGATCATTGACATAAGTGATAGTCGAAGGTGATTCCGAAGTAGTCGTCAACCAGGTCCTGCAAGGCGTCATAGAAGACTCGACTGGTGGTCCGATGTTACGGGAGTGTCGTAAGATCCTAGACTTTTTTTTTTTTTTGTATAGAGTTTAGGGCGGTTCCTAGAGCTGCCAACAGTGCTGCCCATAGAGTGGCGCGTAAAACACTACTTTTGTCTCGTCTAGAGCTAGAATCTTCCGATTTTTTTTTGGGCTGGCTTCACTAGATTTTTTATTGTAAGGGGTTCTAGGTAATTTTGTTTGTATAACTCTTATCATCTCTTGATATCACTCAAAAATAAAAAATAAAAAACTGTCACAACGATATAAACCAGTTGGACAATCTCGATTCTAAGTAATATTTCCCAGATTCCCGGTTCGATACCTGAGTGAACCGCACGAACCCACGTCCCGCGGCCCTGAAATTCTGCGTCAAATTATCATCCTGCCAGATCGCGCGTGGGCTTACATATATATATATATATAGTAGGCATCCAGCCAGCCTCCTTTTACGGTCTATTTTTTTTTTTAAAGGATTAACATTGTTAATTGTTATCTCCTTCCTTCCTCCGCAAAAGGGATTCTTTCCACACAAAAAAGAAGAAACGAAACTTACCCTTTCATCTTCCGCTCAAAGTCGCAGCCATTTCGGGCTTTCTCCATCTCTCCGAGACTCGCAATATTTTCTTTCCTTTCGTTGCCTTGAATTCAAGATTTCTTCCGCTGTCCCTTCGATAAAATCTCTTGTGGGTCTGCGTGAATTTGCTGTTCGAGGTCAAATCTGTCGCTCAATTGGGATTTTGCGTTTCTCTGTTCGGGGATGTGAAATTTTTTTCGACGGGTACGGAATTGAAAAGCAGGCAGCAATGAAGTCCGGCAATGCGTTAGTGATTGGGTTGAGCCTAGTGTTTGGTTGTCTGTTTCTAGCCCTCGCTGCGGAGCTCTACTATCTGCTATGGTGGAAGAGGAGAATCAGCAGCCGGGAGAGTGAAGGGGAAGACGCCGAAGATTTCAGCCGTGGCAGCAACAGCGGTGGGAATTACGCCAAGGAGTTGATTCATCTCGTCTGCTGGAAGAAGCCTTCATCCTCGGACGCCGCCGCCAAACCCGACCCGAAGCCCCATTCCCAATCCGAACCCGACCTGGAGCTCGGCTCAGACGAGGGGAAAGATTCGCTGCTCAAAGGCGGCGCTGCCGGGGAAGGTGGAGGGGAAGAGAGCGTGGAATTGGAGCTGATGCGGCTGCACAATCTCGCCGGGCCGCCGCGGTTTCTGTTCACGATTAACGAGGAGTCGAAGGAGGATTTGGAGTCGGAGGACGGGAAATCGAGATTGGGCAGCCGGCAAGGGTCGAGGACCAAGAGCCTGAGCGACATTCTCCTCGCTGTCGATACGGCGACGCCGCTGTTCACCCCTCTGGAATCTCCCCGCTACTCCAACCCTCTGGAGTCGTATCACCGCCAAGGGTTCAACCCTTTATTTGAATCTTCTGCAGAAGCAGAGCTCAACCGGCTGAGATCCTCGCCGCCGCCCAAGTTCAAGTTCTTGAGAGACGCGGAGGAAAAGCTGCTGAGGAGGCTGCTGGAAGAGGCCCAGCGCCGCGGCGTCGGCAGCGATGGGGAATCCAAGGGTTCCGTCCTGGGTTTGGAGGAGGGGAAGCCTCTGTATCCAGCAATGGCGGCGGAAGTAATGGGAGGGTCGTTTCTGGGGTTTCTGTATGCGAAAAACAGAGAGGTCCGAGTTCATCGTCTACCTCCATTGTCCTCCACTTCTTCTCAGGTAATTCCGTTGGCTTCTTCCCCAACGTCGACGATTTCGGACCTTTAGTCGTAAAATCAGAGATGGGTTTAGCTTAATTTTGTTAGATTTAACCTGTAATTGAGTCTCATTTTGTTCTTCCTCTTGGGTTTTTATTACCTCATTCATTCCCTTTCCCAATCCCCAGTTCATTCTTGCTCAGAATGGACAGATAGACTACTTGAGATATGTTTTTTTCTCCTTCTTCTCCCCCATTATTGCTTCTGCTCTGTATATATCCTGATTTTGTTTTATCATATGCTGCTTGCTTCACATGGGTTGTGGTTATTATTGGGAGATGAATGAAACCATGGCTGGCTAGCTGGAGAGCCAGAGTGCGACAATAACATTTGTTAGGGATGGAGCCCACGCCACGCCCCTCGATCGGTTCCATTCCGTGGCAAAAATCTGTCAGAAGTGGTTATAGTATACTGTATGTACAGTAGTGCTTGGCTCAAGTGGGAAGAGCAGATTCTGGTTTCAAACGCCATTGATGGTCCCTCCAAACTCGTTATCCAGTCTAGGGTTGTTAGGAGGAGGTTGATTCTTTAAAAGTTTGAAACAGAAGAAATTGGCCGCCGCACAATTCGTTGGTGCAAGCGCGTAACGATGATAAAATCATAATTAAGGGAATGGCTTACAGCTAATGCTCGTGTGTTCTTGCAAGTGAAAACAGCTTTGATTTGAGGATGAAATAGTTGAACTTTGTGGCATGAACTGGTTATTTTTTTCTCTTCCCAATCTGCTCTTTTCTTTCCCTTCCTTTTTTCTGAACACTTTTCGTGATTAGAGGGGGGAGAGAAGCAAGGAGGAGGAGGAAAAGGCAAAAAGCTTCTAGATTCTTGATTCTTCTCTTCTTCTTTTCTCTTGTTCTTTCCTTGGCCTTTCGGGTTTTATGCGATTAGTAATGGCGAAAACACGATATGAACTTGAGTAGCAGCTAAAAAATATGATATTATGGCAACTCTTTACAATCGAATTGTCCTGTCATTTTTCAATACTTTTCTCTAAATGTACGATAATCTCATAATGGATATCGAAGAAAGCGATAACATTAACACATATCGATCTACAGTTGACTCAAGAAAAAAGAGTCATTAATTCGAGAGAAGCTAAGAACTTATACACCAATTGTCAAAACCAGAGACGACAAGACAGTGTACAGCACCGTTAGTACATGGAACTTAGCGAAAACAGATTAATGATTTGTATTTAACCCAACTTCGATGTTCACGGTACAAAATTAATGCAACTTTCATTTAACGATCACGGATCGTTCATATTCGATGTAACGGTACAAGCAGTTCGTAAGCACATTCTCCCAAAGTCGTGCTATGAACATAATAGAAAATCTGGGTGTATGGAGATGAATCCATTTGGGGTGTATTTGAAGGAGAACTGACAAAAAGGAAAGTAATGAAGGGATGGATGGCAGTAATATAAGGTGCAAGGCAAATGGGTGAAGTGTCCCTTTTACATAAACAACAAAGAAGTGTCGTTTTTATGTGTCACGCGATTCGGGCCGAAAGCCGCCCCACCAAAAATATGCTTTGTTTAAATTAACACCACTCCCTCACTCGCGTCGTCACCCACCCAAGGCAGCAATAATAATATCTGCCCTTTTCGAAACTCTCAAATCCGACCCACATTTGAAGAAACACAACACAAAAGATTTGATTTTTTGAAAAGGGGCTCTTGATTCTCGTTAGTGGGTAGTAAGTAGTAGTGGAGCTCCAACGTTAGAGAATTTTTTTGAATTGGTTTATGGGAAATGCTGCTGTTGCTGCTGCAATGGCAATGGTCCGTTTCTTACTCGATTAGGCAGGCTACTGTTCTTGTTTTGTTTCCTTTCTTCTCGAATTTGATGTATGTGGCTACGGGGAAACCATGGACCGATTGGATTGGATCCATGTGACTAGTGTAGGTAGGAACTCAGATGCCAAATTTGTGCTATTAGCTAGTGAGTGGTCTATTTTTTTTGTTTTGTTTTTCTGGTGAAGTCAAATTCATTTGTCTGTTGTTCTTCCCTCCCATTCGTCCCCTTCTGGGTTTTTGTCTTTTAACTGAGAGTTCATTTTATTTTGAATGGATTAGAGAACAAGCGACTTAATCGGGTGATGTTGGCTGTCATTATCTCTCTGTTTTATGTTCTACGAATTAATAATAATATCTTGCAAGTGGGTAGTCTTACTTAACTCATACCCCTGAACATGGAAGACAACCAAACCACATTCTCTTGCCTGTTCTTCTATGTCATAGCGGAACGGGGCACTTGGCAGAGTAAGAAAGTAGATGATGAACACATTAACATATTTTAACTCTTTAAAACAATAAGTTCAAAGTTACTACTTTATATAGTCACATCAGAAATAGGGGCGTACATGGGTCGGTTGGTTCGGGTTTAACTATTTTAATAACCCGACCCATGCACTACGGTTTGGGAATTATCAGACCCAAACCCACCCAAAAATATTTAAATCCTACGGTTTGTTTCTAATTGGGTTGGGTCGGGTTGGCGATATTTTTAAGTAAAAACTCAACCCAACATAAAATATATAATTATTATACATTATAAAAATATTTTATAACTAATTAAAATTTCAAACGAATAAACCGAGGTGAAAGGTATCATAATTCACAAATGTCATTTGAATTTTAATAAAATGTGATTTACTTCAACATATGTCTAGTTATTTTCACGATATTTGTTGAAATATGCTAAAAAAGTTATAAACAAACGCATCCATAATATATTATTCTATTAAAATTGTACACAAGAAAAAGGATTATGTGAATCATAACTATATTGAATTTATGTCTAAACTTTAAGTAGAAGAATGCATTAGATTAGGGAGACAATGATAGGAAAACATGACGAAATATATTAATTTTCTCATAAGTATGGTTATATACGACATAAATATTTTTAGATACAAACTCATACTAATAGTTGGAACACGGGTTGGGTCGGGTTCTACGGGTTGTGTAATCCAAAATCCAAACCCAACCCAAAAGAGACGGGTTGTACAAAAGAAAACCCTCACCCAACCCAAAACCTTCGTTTTAGCGATAAATACAGTTGGGTTGCGTCGGGTTGGACGGGTGGGTTGGTTTGCGGGTGTGTTTGTTCACCCCTAATCAGAAAGGTGATCTTTTTATAATTAACCAAATTTTGGAAGAGTTTTTATGTCATTGAGGTTTTAATTAATTAACTTATGACAATTGAATTCAAATTCATGGGTATTCGGCCTAGTTCGTTCCAGTTTAATCGAGTTCAACCATGTATTCACGAATTTTGCCTTGCACGCTTAAATAGTTGAAGCTTGAAGGAGTTTTTGTGCCATTAAGGTTCTAATTAATTAACTTATGACAATTGAGCCCAAATCAATAAGAATTCAACCTACTTTGATCTGGTTTAAGCACTCAGTGTTTATGAATTTTGGCTCAACAATGATTTTTGCACGCTTAAATCACTGAAACTTGAAGGCGTTTTTGTGTCATTAAGGTTCTAATTAATTAACTTTTGGCAATTGAACCCAAATCAATGGGTATTCAACCTACTTCAACCTGGTTAAAGCGAGTTGACCCCGTTGTTGCGAATTTTGGCTTATCGAGTTTTGCGCTTGAATAATTGAAGGCTAAATGAGTATTTTATCTAATTGGACCCAGTGTTGGCGAATTTTGGATCGAGGACGAGTTTTGCATGCTTTTATAATTGACGGATTGGGTCGATGTGAATTTGTTCAATACTCCCCCCCGGTTGGCTTTGCTTTCGTGTTGGCAAATTTTGGGGCGCGGACGAGTTTTGCACGCTCAAATCAGATCACAAGGGTGACGGTTTTGGAGCTGGGGGGGGGGGGAATTTGGGGTTCTTTTTGCCATTTTTGTTGATTTTCATTCTTCCCTCCTCTTCCCAGCCAGTCAGCCACACAAACTTCTATCTCTTCTATTTTCTCCTTCTCTTTCATCTCCCTTTGATCTCTTCTCACCGACCTAGCTCCCTGCCATACAAAGAAGAAAGAAAAAAAATTACAGAAACAACCCACCCTCCCTTTCTTATCCTCCTCCTTCCACTTCCACAATGATCAGTGCCGACTACCAGTGCTACGATGGTGGTTTGTAGGGGCGCTCCAGCGTTACAACAACGGTGAGGTGATGGGGTTGGTTTAGGAGTGCACCAGGCAACACCGAACTGAGGCGGGCGGCGAGAGCACTACGCTGATGGGGGATGATGATGGCAGCGATAGAGATGGTAGTGAGGCGTTGTGATGGAAGAAAATGAGGGAAGGAGAAACAGAGGAAGAAGAAGAAGGGAAGGAAGAAGAAGAAGGGTACAAAGAAAAAAGTACCATATCGATCTTGCTTTCCCGGCCTCTGTTATCTTCTTCTGCCTCTCATTTTCTATTTCTCTCTATGCGCTAGTGATTTCAGGTTTATTGGGTGATTCCATCCCTTCATCTACTGATGACTCGATATTTGCACATGTTTTCCCCTTTGTTTCTTGATCGTTTAAGCTTGCATTATCGCTTCTTTGGCCTATTTTACGCTAGGTTGTGTTCCTTTGTCACATTTAAGGTCCTAGCACATAAAGTGAAGCATAGGCACAAGTTTCAAGTCAATCGGAGATCAATTGGTAACTCGGGGAAGAAACTCGGGTATGACTTGAAGAAGAATGGATTTCTAACTCAGTTTGTGACCATATAATCATGTAATCTTGTCATGAGAAGAAATAGGACGAGACTACGAGCATGTGGGATCAAACGGCACCTGATTTGGAGTCCGAACGAGGGAGAAACGAAGAATCAAAGATCGGGGAAAATTGGTTTCGAGCTTCGCTGAGAAACATAAGGGGGCCCTATCGTGACACTAAAATCCCCGGTAGGGGATTTTTGGCCTTGATAGGGGATTTTCCTTTGTCTCCAGACGTTGCGTTTTCAAAAATCCCCGGTCGTGAACCAAAAATCCCCGGCCGTGACCTAAAATACCCGACAGGGGATTCTGACCGGGAACGCAGGCTGTTACAAGGCTGT